ATATTGAAATATACAATGATGGAGCTAGCTTATTGATAATTTATATTTTTTGGTGCAATAGCTTATTGATAATTTAACATCATATATTACTATCTTATGACTTGGAAGTATATGCAACTTGCATAAATCCAAATAGCAAGTAACCACAAAATGGGGAAGACGAATTGTCTGGAAAGTAAATGTAAATTAATCAAATATGTCTATTTATACGATGCAATCTTACATTAATTAATCAGTAATCACATAATCCAAATAATTTATTGTAACACTTGTAAGTCTATTTCATCACATGTATTAGCCTTGACAAAAATGATTTTTATCTGATTATTTGTTGTTGAACTAAAACCTAAATTTATCCAAAGTTACATGATCTAAATCTCATCCGATCGAGTTGATTTGAATTGACCCAAAAATTAATATGTCTCATAAACTATCACAATAGGCGATTGACATGTACAATAAAATCGAATATAATTGATTCAAACCAAATCTACCTAAACATGAAATCAACCTAAACATTTTTTTACCTGAATTAATCCATCCTGAACAGAATTCGAATGATCCGATTCCCCCACCAGTCACCACCACCCCACCCTCACCAGTCACCACCACCCCCACCCCTAATCAAATACGTGTAGTTCTGTCAATAGTCGAGCAGAACAAGTCAAGAAAATGATGGTATGATTCACCAAATAGAAAAGAAACGTAAACTCAAGTTAGAACTTACTCTAATACTTCCACGTCATAGTCGTTGTTAACTACACTTGTTTTTGTTTGATTTGCTACATTAAATATGTTAATGTTACATAATTTAATATTCCTTCTCTAAATACAAAATAGTTCCTACATAAATTAAGCTCATTTATTCCGTTAATAGATAACCTAAGATGTTTCTTTTCTTGTCTGTTTTGTAAGAAATTTTACTATAAACATAAGTTTTAGCACGTTACTTGCCGCTTAATGATTCCTTAATTTTATTTCAATATAAAACTTGCTTCATTAGATCCGGTGGTTGATTAAAGTTATTGTCTCTTAGTACTATTATAAAACATAACTTCTTCTTTAATATTATTCGTTTGATTTACGAGATCATTGTATCTGCATGACAGATATTACCTATATTCTATAAGAGTTGAAACCTTAAAAGACCAAATGGAAGAGATAATTATAACAATTATAATCGACTAGAAACAAATACTCTAATAATTGGGGTAATAAATGCTTTATTTTAGTGTTTTACCGGTTTTTTTTTTTTTTTTTTAAGGTGAAATGAAATATTCTACTGAACCAAGCACCTTTTACATGTTAAGGTAATACAGCTTCATAGATTAATGATTAAGAGTATGGGGGTTAAGAGAATCCCCCTAATTTGAAGTAAATTTAGTTGGTGGGGCTCAAACTTGTAATCTAACTATTCCTACCAACTTCACCAAGCATGTTAGGTTACAAGATTGGTAGGCAATTATAAATAAACTAGAATTTTATGTACTTGTATAACAATATCATAATAAGTTTTGCACAAACTTTCATATGTAGCTGGCCACACAGTATGGCCAGCCATCATGGGGATTATTTTTTTAGTATTATAGGGGTTACTCACTCGATCAGAGATTACTAAGTTGGTCAAGGGTTACTCGGTCGGTCATGGATTACTCGGTGTGTGTCAGCTAGCCACACGATGTGGCCAGCCACACGAATAAGTTGCTGTAAGTTTTGAATGTTAGGAAAAAAAATGTTAAAATTAGTGACCAATTAAACAGAAGTCCATAATTGATTCTATTTGAATTGAATTTAGAGCATAACTTCCGATAAATTAATTCATTACGAGGATTTATATAACCTGGTATAATATTTTACCATGAAAAATATTAAGTTGGGATTAATTAAACATATTCATTCATGTATGTTGGACCTGGCAAATGGGTCATTGGGGCGGGTCTGCATTGGGTCATATTCGGGTCAGGTATCGGGTTAAGTTCGGGTCGGGCCAATTTTGGGTCGGTTATGTTCGGGTCGGGTCAATTTCGGGCCAAGTATGTTCGGGTTATATTCGGGTCAAGTCAAAATCTGGTCGGGTCATGTTCGGGTTGTTTCATTTGTGAATCAAGCTCAAATAAATAATTTTATACGGAGTATATATTTTGTTATTGTTATAATAAAAATTATCAATTTAATTTATGAGCTTAGCTACGGTTGAAGATGAAGAATTTGAGTTACTTTTGGTACAAGACATTTTAAGTTCAATTATAAGATAATTTTAGTTCAGGACATTTCGGGTATTGAGTCTGTTCGGGTCAAACATTTCGGGTCAATTTCAGGTCGGGTCAGGATCGGGTCAACTCCATTTTCAGGTCGGGTATGGGTCGGGTCGGGTCAATTACGGGTTTTGGGTTATTCTCGGGTCAATGTTTTTGGGTCATGAGTTGGGTCATCGGGTCTGGGTCAAGATTGCCAGTTCTAATGTATGTATACAATATCGTAAGAAAATTTACCAAACATCGATCATAAATTATTAACATCCTAATTAGAAAATAAACAATATATGGCTTAATTCCCTCCCAATGCAAAGTCCCAAGTAGTTATTGTGATACCTGATACTAGAATATGTCTCCTTTAACGTATTCTAATAAATTATAAATAAGACTACTACATTGGCTCTTGTATTTCATTAATTGTCACCATCTTAGTAAACATCTTATAGTGTCCTTTTCTATGTCTACACATGCTAACCCATTCAAGTTCAACTCATTAGTATCAAATTAATGACATAAAGAATATTAATTTTGTTTAGAAGCATAGCTTAGGAGCCTAATATAAGTATAATAAAATAACTATTCAATTAATATTATTAATTTCTATTATAGTAGTTGAACATCTAGTCAGAAATGATCAAATATTAATAGGAAGCTATTAAAAAAAAAGGACAATTTGTGCCATAAAAAAATAGTTGAAAGCTCAATGTTTACCTCATCCACAAGACCACAAGATACGCAAAGATATCCACTTACATGTTAATTAACATTTAATTAATTATATAAGCTATTGGATTAGTACGTTTTTGAGCATGATGACTGCATGAGGGTTATAATATTTGTCTTGTATTAAGAATATAAATTAAATTAATTAAATTTTGAGACTACGGTCAAAACAAGTTTATTCTATTGACTCAACCGACGAAGAGCTTGAGTAGTCAAATACTGTATATGACATGTAATTCTATATCATTTGTTTGCTATTAGTCGTTTTCAACCATCATTTTCTACAAATGTTAGTTACAACGTATAGTGTATGATATATCCGTATATGGGTTACACATTAGTTCTCCGTCCCTTTATTTTCGCTTTATATAGATAATGAATGCTACTTTAAAAAAACTTGGTTGGAAAGAATTGATAGGCGAGAAAAGTGGTGGGACCATGTGTAGTGATTGTGAGAATAAAAGGGTGATCCCTAATCCCTACACCCAAATATAGAATGGGACAACTTAAAGCGACAAATCAAAATAAAATTGGGGGCAAATAGTAAGGGACATAGGGAGTATCTATTCATTGATTATCCACTAATAATTTCAGTCTTACTTATCCTCGTGACTTTTAGAATCAAATATATTTACTCATTATGTATACATTGTGTAGTAATGAATGTATTAAACTCTATATATGTACCAAGTAAGACTTGTGTTAGTAATGAATTAAACCTTCAAAGTTCAAACACTTTGGGTTAGGGATTTCTGCTGTAAATAATGATACAATCTCTAAATTGGCAAGGAGCCGATAACAATAATTCGATTATCAAGCAATAATGAACCATTAATTTTAAATAGTCTAGTTGACCAAGAGGAATATAACAAACTTTTGAACATAGTCCAGTAGTGAATCAACTGAATGACCCCAAATGATTTAGACTCGACCCATTTATAACACGGCCGGATACTTGAACTCACTATAAACTTGCCAAACCCAATTACAACCCTACTAAATAGTTTAGTTGAATCGACCTGCTAGTTTTCGTAACCAACCCAAGCTGAGACGCCAGTCAAATGAACATGATCCAATCGTCCCATTTCAACTTAATACCCCTATTAACCTAATTCGGTTATGACCCGAGTTACCCGACCCAATATGAATGCAAGCCTGCTTTATCTCATTTCCAATCCGATCTATTTCAATCAAAATTGATTATGACCCACTTCATTCATTTACAACCATCCTCGGCTATACTATAAAGTTATTGGAGATATCCTAGAATAATATTGTTATGATAGGATATTATTGTGGAATATTGTGAGATAATATTGTGATTTGTTGAGATAGAATTATACTAATTATCTTTTGTAAAGATATGCTTGGTTGTTAGTCCTAGTATTATATATACATTGTATATGCCGTGAAGATCAATGAAAAACAAAGTGATTATTTTGGAGAGCTTGTGATTAATTTAACTAAAGTATTTGACATTGTGTAAATAATAATTGTAATGAATTGAGCCACCAATTTTTCACAACTAACCCAAACTAAGCCGTCAGCCTAATAAGTTCACTTCAACCTAAAACCATTCAAATTGACTTTAAATCAATCCTTCCGACCCTTAATGATTGTTTCATATAATAATATCTAAAGATTACCCCGCCTATTATTTGTTAAAATTTCCAATTTTCAACCCCTCTCTCTCTCTCTCCTAGTCAAAAATCATGCTCGCAATTTGTGGCAATCTCTTAGGGACAAAGAGTATTTAAAAGGTGTTTATTTGGATTGCTAGTAATAATCGGGTGTTTGATATTTTGTTGTTTGAGTGCTTCTCAAGAGTTTTCGGAGTTGCAACTCAGCATCTCCTTCAGTGCAATTGATCCAATGCTCCTTTCAATTTAAAAAAGTGTACTGCTTATTGAAATTTATCCAACAGCTACAAAAAACATCCTCGTCTATTAGGGAGGACTAATCCAAGCATCCAAAGGATTAATAATGCATAACATAGGATTAATCCACTAAAACTGCATTACATCGATCTGGTAACAAACACCAGCAGCTGGGTCTTTAATAATCTACTTCTCTATACATTTGCTGCCAAACCAAATCACATTAGACTCGATTCGACTGAAACCCTTCCTCCATCACATAAAAAAAAATTAAATGAAAGATACATGAATCAAAAAGAACAGAACCAGACAAAGGGGGAGAAAAAGTTGTAAAAAAAAGTGTTCATAATTTACTAGTTTGCTGTATGATTGTTTTGGACACAAAGATAAGTTGACTGAAATGGGGAAACAAGATGAAACCCCACAACAAAATTGTGCATACAATTTCTCAAGTGTATATGTGTTACCTTCAAGTCTAAAACAAAAAGAATCAGTTTAATCATTTTGTTAATTGCTTCACTTTGGCTGACATGGCCTCCAAACCGTGCCGCCTGTGGGTAAATCCATCAAGCTGATACCCTTAGCGGTTAATTCACTCCTCAACTGGTCAGTTTTTGTAAAATCTTTGATTTTTCTAGCAGCAGCCCTTTCTTCTATTAGACGTGATACCTCATCTTCAGTTAGCTCGGCTCTAATTAAAGCCTTCTCCTTCAACTGCTGCAAAACCTATTTGAAAAGCAATAATATTATTGACAGAATGTAGCAGGCTAAAAGGGAGGACTCTAAGGTAAATACAAAGACATGTTACCTCAGAATACGGCAGAGTAGAAAGCAACCCTAGGATATCCAAAACCTTAGTGACTGCCTCCTCCAATTCTTTAAGAGCCTGAACAGCCAACATTTTTTGTTGCTTCTGCTTCTTCTGGAATAAGGAAGATCAAAGTTCACATCCATCAATCAAAAAATTTATAAGAATCATAATTTGCATGAATATGAGTTGAAACTTGTTTTCCTTTTGAAAGGGAATTGAATGCAGGCAGCAGGTATCACCATCACTCACCTTAAGCCCGTTTAATTCGTTGTTAATAGCCGTAAGTGCATGTTGAAGACTGCCCTTCAAAATTTCTGCCGTGTGCAAATCATCAGCCATTTTGCATTCAAAATCTGTCTTCAGATTCTTAGCCTCAGAAGGTTTACTAGGTTGTTTGGTATTTGATTTAGGCTTGTCATTTGAGTTTCCACTATCAAAAGACAATATAGCATTCCTACAATCTAGCAGCGTCTGAAGAATAAGAGCATAAGATCACAATCAACAAATTAGAACAAAGAATTCCAGACAAAACATTAACACAAATGACATAATCACAGCAATCCGCTGAAAATGGCCAAACAGAATTAGTATTAAAGAGACATTACTATTTAGAAAAGCAAATATTAGCAAACAAAACCAATAACTTCTTGCCAGAATTACTCAGATATGCAAATTTACAACAGGAGAAACAGCATTGAATACAGAAGGGAAAGCAAAAAATTGGGTACCCAGGTTTGGAAACCAGAACCTGGACCGGTTCAGGTTCTCAAAATTTTCCAATACCAAGTACCCAAAACCTGGAACCAAAACCGGATAAACATGCTATTTATCATAAATCAATCTAAGCCCATTATTGGAAGAAAAAGAAATCATAAAACAATCAAAACCCAAGTCATACAATAGCCTTTTTCTGATAAATTGGCAACAATTTATTCAAGTATATAAAAGTTCCTAAACCGGAATTTATACAGTTATACCCGATGGTTCTGGATCCGGTTCTCATTTCCAAAACCTGTTGCAATAGGCACCAAATCTGATTTCGTTCCTGAGGAACTGGTTAAGCAGAACTTGTACCTGATAGTTCTGGTTTAAGTTCTCATTTCCAAAACCTATTGCAATTGGCACCGAATCTGTTCATTTATGAGTAACTGGTTAACCAAAACTTGTAACCGATAGTTCTGGACTTCTAGCTCACTTTCGCATATCCAAAACCTATAGCAATAGGCACCGAATCCCATTTTATTTTTGAATGGCCGGTTACAACACGTTCCGGTTTTAGTCTCGGAATTTTGACAAGGCACCCTAAGTTGCTCACCCTTAAATAAACCTCCCCCAAACAAAATGCCACCGCTATCCCAAAAGGGGAGGAGAGAAAGCACATTTCCACATTACATAAGATTATAGAAAATCATTAATCCATCCCATAGTAGTCTTCCCATTTTTCCATTTCCATTGTTGCTGAAAATTCTTCCCATTTCCTTATCTAGTACGAGTCAACTAAAAACAATATCCCTACACCCACCCACCTTAGTCACCTACTCACTCAACATTTCTCTCTCCTCCATCTTAAAAGAATAAACAACTTCCAATGTTGACAACGACAACAAAGCCTTAGTCCCAAAATGATTAGGGGTCGGCTAACATGAATCGTCATAAGGAACCGTATGATGTAAGGAAAACGACATAACAAGATAATCATTTGAAAAAAAGGTGAGTAAAGTGAGAAAAAGGAGGAGCATCCACCCGCCCACCTTAGTCACCAACTCACTCGACATTTCTCTCTCCTCCATCTTAACAATAAACAACTTCCAACGACAACAAAGCCTTAGTCCCAAAATGATTTGGGGTCGGCTAACATGAATTGTCATAAGGAACTGTATGATATAAATAAATAAAAAAAATTAAAAAAGGAAGAGCATCCAAGAAAAATTAAGGGAGTTTTAAAAGTGAACCAAAAATAAGATTTAAGAAAGTTTTCAAGGAGTGGTTAAAAAGTTGGGAGTAAAAAACATAAAGGTTTGAGAAAACTTTATCAAAAAAAAAAAAACAATACAGTTCATAAAACATTAGTGGGATAAAATAATACATTTTAATACTAAAATTAATTAAAAAAGTATATATATAATCATGACACGTCATTACGTGAATTTTCTCCCTCCACACAGCCTATCCAACACCATATTTTCCTCAATCCCCAAAGCACTCATGTCACTATCAATCACCCTCTTCCAAGTTTTCAACCAAGCCGAGCTCCCATGTATGTTGGACACTCGGGTCGGATGTTAAAAAGCCTAAAACCAAGCCAAGCTCCAAAGTAAAGAACAACAAATGCACTGCTTTGTCAAACTTTTGAATTCAATCATTACGTGGGTGCAAACTTCAATATTTATCCTGTTTTGTCGATTCAAAATCCAATCCTATTCTTTCTTAATAAACCACCGGAATGTCAATTCGATCAAATTCCCCCAAATTTCACCTACCACCATTCAAAATCCAACCTTAAATCTCCCTCTATTTTCAAAATTTTGCCCTAATTTCTCCCAAAATCAATGGATAATTCCGAAGTAGAAAATCCCATTTAAAATCTTCGAAAGAATCACTTAACAGAACCCTAATTACATTAACCTTCAACTCCAACAGAATTCTCCGGTGGGTTGACGGCGGCGATGAAAAGTGCTTGTCTTTGGAGAAGGAAGTTCTAGGGGTTTCCATGGAAGATTCTAGAATCATTCTCAAATGCGCTGTTAAGAGCAGTGGTAGTGGAATTTAGGGGAGTTTGATTAAATTGAGTGACATTCCCAGGGTTTATTAAGAAAGAATATAGATCCTGGGGTTAACTTCCAATAACTTAACTTTTTATTTTTTACATTATAATGCCCAAAAGAACTAGGATTACCACTGTGGGACAACAGGAGTAGCTTTATCAGTCAGTTAGTATGCCCAAACTGTCTTGCATATCTATGCAAAATATACATAAAATAAACACTTGTATCGGAGCTGTAATACAAGATAAATGAAGATGACTAGATGAGAGTATTACAGGAAACAAAATCTAATCGTAAAATACTATCTGGCAATCTCAAAAGAGAACCTCAAACTTAGAAATCAAATTGGAAAAATTCCATTCTAGTAGGGCAAGAATGTGTAATTACTTATCAAGAAACCCAATAGACAACAGGGTAGTCCGACTATGAGCTCAACTTTCTTTAGCTACACCGTAAATCTCAAACTCTATAAGGTGCTGAAAGGAATGGGTGGGAAAGTTAATTTAGTGTAAGAAATTCACTATCCCAGTTTCCCATGGCTGGTCTTGATCGATGGATAAGATTTGGAGAAAAAAAAAGGAATTAATTAGAAAAATGATTCCTTCAGAGCAATATTACCAGCAATTTGGAGGGATTAGAAAGGGGAAAAGGCTACTACCGCAAATGTACCAACGCACATAATTTCTTTACAATCTCTTTCTGTACAAAGAAAAGCCCCTCGCAAATTCGCAATTATATTTTGTTATACGCATATTGATGATAAAGCTAAATCTTTTATTTTTCTCGTTCCTTCCCTCCTTTCACAACCATCATACAAAACCAAAGAATAAATCATTCCTTATGTCAAGGGTTACCAGCTTAGGCAGCCATTATTAATTTATCACAAACTATTGGGTGCGGCTTCTCGTGCGGCAGCCCATTTCTCCTTCAAACACAATTGAAACTTATCCGTTCATTTCAATTATCAAAGAAAACTGAGATTTTAGGACTCACAATTCACAGATTAACATCGTAATGCTTGAATCAGCCAACCAAATCGAAGAAAATGATTTATTTTCTGATTGAATTGAAAACGAAGATGACGATGACGAAGACTGAGACTAAGGTGAAGCGGTTGGTGGTGATGCGATTTGCGATTTGCGATTTGTGGCTGGTGGTTGGTGGTGATGCGATTTGCGATTGGTGTGAGGATTTGTTTGCTGGTGGTGGCTGGGTAATTGCGGTAAAAGGTGGGTAGTTGCTGGTGGCGAGGTAGTTGCGGTGTATGCGGAGGTGTGGAGACGGGTGGCGAGGCTGGTGGCTGCCTGTGCTGCTCTGTTTTGGGTTGAAGGATGGAGTAGGGGGTAGTTGCTGGTGGCTGGGTAGTTGCTGGTGGCTGGGTAGTTGCGGTTAGGGATGGCAATTTAATTCGAGTCGGACCCGATCCAAGGTTAAAAGTCCGATCCAAGGCCGAAAAAATAAAATTCGAGTTCGAATCCGATAAAAAAAGTCCGAATCCGAATAGGATTCGCATCGGACTCGGACCTTGCATAGCATCCGACTGAGTCCGACCCGCGAGTTTTACAAGGGGCGAAATATAAAATTACATTACCCTAATATTTTACTCCTCCGCCACTTTCCTCACCCATTGTCCCTGAAAGAATCATTTCTCTCTCCTCTCCTTTCTCTCTCCTCTCCTTTCCTTTCTCCTTCCTCACTCTCTATTCAGAACTACTCCATTAGTTAGGAGAGTGTTTTGTCAACCACTTTTCCGATTACACCTCCCTTGACTATATTGCTATTATCAATCAATGATGGAGATCTAAACCAAAACAACAACCGTGAACAATCTCTCTCCTTATCTATTAAGTTTTGTTTTTTGTATGGTTGTTTAATTTTACACTGCTTATAATATATGTGTCAATTACACTTGAAGATCTAAAGCCCGAAACCAAGAACAACCTTGGAAGTTCTCCGTTTCCCAAGATTTAATTTTTGTGTAGAAATCTGAAAGTTTGTAATTTATTTTTTGTGTAGATCTGAAAATTTAGTTAATTTTTCTTATAATTGTTCAAGTGATAATCATCATTTTTTTCCTCTATACAAACTCTATACTTCTTCAACCCCTTTTGTTTTTCTTTTTTCTAATTCTAATCTAAAAAGAAGGAAATTCTATTTGCAAAACGGACATGGATTCGGAGTCGGAGGTGGTTAACTCCATCGGATTCGGATCCAGGTTTAGTATAAGCGGAGTCGAATCCGGAGTCGGAAATTCTATTTGCAAAACGGACATGGATTCGGAGTCGGAGGTGGTTAACTCCATCGGATTCGGATCCGGGTTTAGTAAAAGCGGAGTCGAATCCAGAGTCGGATCCGGATTTTAGGTCCGTTTACTAAACGGATCGGATTCAGACCCTGCATAGTCCGACCCGAGTCCAATCCGTTGCCATTCCTAGTTGCGGAGTATGCGGTGGTGTGAGTGTGTGGTTGGTGGAGTTGGGTTGCGCAGCTGTTCAATTAGCGTATTAGTAGGCTGGAAGCGGTGAGTGGGGCAGGGGAATTAGTTTAGAAACATTTCACCTTGAAACACATATTTGGGGTTATTGAGTTTGAGTGAGGGAGTGAGTATGTTGTTAATCATATTAGCCAACAAATGACACATATCAGCCAATAAAAGGAATGTATTAGCCAAATGATAACTAAAATCAGTCAACATTAGAGACATATCATATCAGACATTAATAAAAACGTATCAACCAACAAAAGGAATATATCAGCCAACAAAAGATACATATCAGCCAACAAAAGGTACTTATCAGCCAACAAATGAAGCATATCAGCCAACAAAAGGATGAAATCAGCAAACAAAAGCAACAGGTAAGCCAACAAAATGAAACATATAAGCCAACAATTAAAATATACATATCAGCCAACAAAATAAAGATATCAGCCAACTTAAGAAACATATGATAGTAGCCAACAAAAGGAACATATCAAAAACTAAAAAAAAAAAAACCATATCAGCCAATAAAAGGAATATATTAGCCAACACAAAAACTATATCAGCCAACACATGAAACATAAATATATCAGCCAAGCCTGCCGCACGCAAATTTTTGTGGGGTAGTCCGCACCCAATACCTTTTCTTAATTTATTATACCCAAAAATTACTTATCCAAACTTACTAAACTTAATTTGAGAAATGAGTGGAAACCAGATCAGCATATCAGAGCCATACATGTAGAATAGGAGACATACCCTTATTTAACATCCAGAGGACTTGTGACTTGAAAATCTTTATATTTCTCTTGTGGTTCTAAAACTAATAACACACCATCTTTCTTTTCCAGCATAAGCTCAAACTATGATTATATGCACATTATATGGTTTTACTAAAGATGTATGATAACTTCTTCCTACATCATCTAAGATTTTCATTATTCTCTGTCCCAGATTTTGGCTTCAACAGCATTGGAATTACATGCATGATATACGTGAATAGTAAAAAAGGTAAACAAAGTAAATAATAACAATTTTGTTATATATATATATATATATATAACATATTTTTTTAAAAAAATAAATAAATAAAAAACTTTTTCCGCAATACAACATACTCTTATCATGTAGACACCATAGAAAATTCACACCATGGCTACATAGCATAAATTTGTAAATCTAAGACCAGAAAGAATAATATTCTAATGCACTAGGATATAGCAAGCAAATCCAGGGTACAGCAAGAGCAAACTAAGAATATCAAGACCTATAAGCACAGAATACTTGCCTGATAAACAAAGAAGACTGCATCAGATGCAATATCTAATTGTGACAATGAATAATTGACAGGAGAGTTGTAGTTCATGCTCAGCAAGAAGTACCTCAAAGCCAAGGGATGGTATTGTTTGGTAACCTAGGTTTGAGAAAAGAAATATTATAAGAGTAATAACATGTTAACCAAACATGCAAACACCTCAGTCAACAGCTTAAAATGTAGCATCACTCATCATACCTCACGAATAGTAAAGAAGTTTCCAGTTGACTTTGACATCTTCTCTTCATTAATAGTCACAAACCCATTATGCAACCAGTAACCAATGTCAGTCTCTTCACATGCAGCGCAACTCTGGGCCAGCTCGTTTTCATGATGTGGAAATATCAAATCCATTCCACCACCGTGGATATCAAAAGAGAAAGTCAGGTAATGAGCACTCATTGCACTGCATTCTATGTGCCATCCTGGCCTTCCTGGACCCCAAGGACTGTCCCAACTTGGCTCACCAGGTTTAGCAGCCTGCAAATTTGATAGATGTCACACAAGGAAACAACATCACAACATTAATGACTGTGTTGGTAAAAAATGCCTCTTGTTTCCAGTACCTTCCATAAAGCAAAATCAGCAGGATGACGCTTTCTAGAATCTACAGCAACCCTTTCACCTGCTCTATTGTCCTCAAGCTTCCGCCTAGATAATTTCCCATAATTTGGGAACTTATCAGCGGCAAAATAAACATCTCCATCAAGAGGATACGCATAACCTTTTTCAATTATCTGCAATGAGCAACCCCCCCCCCCCCAAAAAAAAAAAAAAAAAAAAAAAAAAATGTGAGATCAACAAAGAATGATAATCTTGGAGAAGTCGTAGGCATACAGTAAAAGAAAATGCTCAGCCATGTCTGGTTTCTAAAGTGGAAAATATCATGGTATGAGGATTCATTGAGGACCTCTTCATGCAAGCCATTCTTTAATACAGGTTTAGGACTATTTGAGTGCATGATTGAAATAAAGCTACATGGTAGTTTATTATTTGAGTAGTTATTTCCGTTTAAGGACAACTGGTCCTCCAACTTTTGTATCCCCTGTCTTGCTATTACCATGTAAATTCTCTCTCTTGTCAAAAGATAGATTTGTTTGTTCCATCTTATTTGACTTATTCAGACAAGTAGTTCAATAAGTTGGAAACAAATAAATAAATAAATAAATAAAGACAATTTTAGACAAAATACGTACTAAGGTTTTTTTTTTTCAAACAAAACAAGTTCAGATAATTTCTGACAAGTTCAATAAAATAATTTCAGATAACATAAGTTAAACCAAACAGATCCCTAATCCTCGAAGCTCCATTCTTCTTTTGACTCAAACTAATAATTTAACTGCTGAATTCAGAGGGTGCAAGGATAACAGGAGCATGCAGATACAGATTCATATTTTATAAGAATATAATGAAGAGGAAGGCGCCAGTGAACAACATAGATGATTGTTTACATGTTTGACTAACAGTCCATGTCTGACCAGATACCCAATACACATTATTGAACACAAATGTGAAACTTCTCCATAAACTTTCATTTTAAGGACAAAGCCTTTATAATTAAATTCACTAGACAGGAGATAAAACACACAAAACCATAATTCTCACCTTAGCTATCATGTCTCTAATCTGATCCATGTGATCAGAAACGCGTGGCTGATGAGTAGGAAGCAGGCACTGTAGATCATCCATATCCTTAAGGAACTCTTCACAAAAATGATTGCTTAACATTAAAGGGTCACTCAGTGGATCTTCTGGATCTTTCTCCTTACGCTCATTTGCTCTACGTATAATCTGAAAAGTTTCGGACAAGAGAATTAATAAAGCATCGGTCAAAACCTGGAACTGAAAAGAATCAAGAAAGAATATTGAAAGCAAATGATAAACATAAAGGCAATAATGGAAAGCATCGACTTATGAACTTTATTATTTATCTTAGAAGAGGTCAATGTGCCACAGCTCATAAGGTTTACTAGAATGAAATAACAAGCCATCTCAGTTCATAGAGTATATGCGTTTAGATTACCAGTGCAAAGCAGGCCCTTCACACCAATACAAAAGACAGGTTTTGTTATCTTGGAGACATGTGCATATCATAAACTTTGCCATAGACCTCAAAAAACATATTGCAATGATGTATCTATAGTTTTATAAATCCTTCATTGAGGCCATTCTCATTGGTTATCATTCCGTACTAGTATAAATATAAAAAAAAAAATAAAAAAAATAAAAAAAAAATAAAAAAAAACCAACCACGTGAAATGAGCATCATTATCCCTACGACCTTAACCCACTTCAAAAACATATTCACGATAAGCCAATACAAAATGCCTGCTGCTAAGTCAGATTGACACTATTGCCTTGCTGCTATATGGAACAACCCTCCAAATCATACAGAAATGACTCACATGGATTTAATTTATAGTAGCCAAAACCATTTGAAATGTTATCCCCATATTGATAGCAATTCTGTCAGATATAAATTAAAACATTATTTCAAGCAGACTAATTCCATATGAGCAATCCAGAAATGGAGGATCCAGCATAGCCAATCATATAAGGCAAGCAGAGAGAAATTTCAATTCAAACAACAAAGTCCACACCCGAACACCCCCAACCCACATCCATCCCAAAAAAAAATATAATTAAAAATTTATTAATAAATTCAACTTTCCCTCGCAAAATTTAAGTCAAACCATGGAAGAGCCAATGTCACTGACCACTTGACCAACAGAATGCAAAGCCAAGAAACTCTACCATTGAAATAGCCAACTATTCCTGCTTATAAAAATTATGGTCATCAGCCGGTGAACAAGCAATGGTGTTCTGTTGGCAACAGGATTCCGGTGGCTGAGTGGCATGCTAAGGAGTAAGGACAATGCAAGACATGCACCAGAAAGATGACAGTGAACTTGCTTTTATCTATGCGAAATATTAGCCTTTAGCTGTTAGCCAAGTTCATGGCCTGCCTTCAAGCTTATGGTACGGAAATTCCCAAGTATGTCCCTCCCAATTCCAATTTACTCAGCATAATTAACCATTTCAAAGAACCAGATTAAAAAATCTTAACAGATCCCCAAATATTCACAGACAACAGTTAGGTATTCCCCAAAATTTAAACAGCTAGTCCTCTGGTTCAGTGGTTTCTACGATCAAGTGCTGTCCTTCGCAAATTTCAGCCAGTTCATAATGAAGGTCTAGGATCATGGAAATGAATGAAGCAAAGCTAGAATGTCCTAAATACTCACACATGGAGCAGACTAACACCCCTCCAGGCACACCCTCCGTCACAATCAAGAGAAATCCAACTCCAAAAGATAAACTCAAAAGTGCAATAAGCAAATGAATAACTCCATGCAAACCACACACCCATTTATTAGTCCCTTTGAAAATAATCAACTTTAACTCCTCCTCTATCCATTTCTACTATAAAATTCCAAAAATAAAGCAACTTTGCCACTCCATAAGAACTCTGTGATCTTAGAAGTAACAAGAGCAAGATAAAACATTGAATCAATAACAATGCATGAAACCATGATCTGAAAATTAGAACCAGGAATTCACGTTGAAAGAAAAAAGGGGATTAAAAAATAAAAAATTACTGTGCATAGTTCTTAGTGTGATTCTATTTGGGGTATGTTTAAATTTTTATCATCCATCACAGCCTTAGTTTTATTGTGAGGTCAGAGGTATAGGCTAACTCAAACTTGGACATCTTATCTTACAGCCTAGTGCACCAATTTTGAAATCATCCCAAAGGTAATCAGGTTCAAGTTGTTTTTTTAAAAAATACAAACACACACAAGCCACCCCCTCCCCCCACCCCACACACACACACACAAAAAGAAGTAATAAGTTGATTGACCTGGGAATCAACCTGACATCATTAGACCCAAAACCAATTCAAGGGACCCGTTTAGCACGCCTACAGTAGAAGGCTCTTTTCTAAGGCATAGTAAGAGCCACAGTTGCACCTCACTTATGCTTACCTTTATAATTAAGGCCTTTTGGCCCTTTTCTATACACCCAAGGAGAAGGGAAACGAGAACATAAAATTGTAATTGCCTCCAATACTTTATCTTACGTATTAATATACAAGAGACTTATGATGATGTTAATCATTAGTGCATTGCAGTCCACATAACATCAAATTCATCCAAGTATGTGCCAATGTAAAATTCTCAACCTAAAGTCTTGTTGACAAAGATATAGCAAGTTTTTTCCAAAAAATAAAAAATCTAGCAATTTCTGACCTTGTCATCAACATCAGTGAAATTCCGAACATATGTAACTTCATAGTCCAATTCCTTCAAGTATCTGCATTAACATATCGAAACATATCATATCAAAATTCAGCATATTAGTATGTTTTCAAGATAGGAACAAAAATAGATATCCCGCCACCAGCAAAAGTAGAAAGGAGCCGAAAACAAAGGAATTTACAATTTCCTAGAATCAGCCGCATTAAAGCATATTAACCAATTTGGTCATACATTTAAAATCCCGCTCCTGCATCGTATATTGTAAGATTATGAAAATCCAAGAGAACACCCAAAATTCCGACACAACTATTCATTTCATCAAATGGTTAATAACCAAGATCTAATGCTGTGATTGACTGATTAAGTTTCGAAGGAAAAAATTCCAATCTGGTTCATTCAAGCTTTAAATGATACTGTTGATCAAGGTTTTTTTAAAAAAATATTCTTATTACTCTCAGTTAATTTTAAAAAATACTGTTAATTTAGTATTAGCAATGACTAAACATATCAAAGTCCATCTCTCAAAAAATTATATCAAATTCACTTATGCTCCAAACATTAACAAAATAAAATTCCAGAATTCAAAATACTATTGCTTCCAATAAGAATTGAATTTCCGGGTTATCAATTCCAAAATTGAATTCAGTCATGTGGAATAAATCTAGCGTTTCCAAACACTATCTTAGGGAAATTTATAAACTCAGAAAAAAGGTTGACTTCCGAATAAATCCAAATTCTCAATAAAATAGTACACTGACAAACAAAATTTCCCAATTCATTAAACCTAATTCCAATTGACATCAAATTGAAAAAGTAGAAAAACCAAAAACACCATTAAATCGAGAAATTTGAAGAAGTATATACCGGTAAAGAACATCGAAAGCAACATACGCACGAGCATGACCAATGTGGCTGAAATCATACGCAGTAACACCACAAACATACATTGAAACCTTGTTTGGAACCTTGGTTTTAAAAACTTCCTTTTGCTTAGTCATGGAGTTGTAAAGCATAAAGGTAGGACGATCATTTGACTTCACATTTTCTTCCGCCATTGTTGCGGTATTCAGAGCTCAAAACCCTAATTTAACTTTTTGTTCTTACAGGAACTTAAGCTTAAGTTAACTTCTGTTGGTGTCTCTCTTTGTAAGAATATAAAATAACGAGTACGGTGTACTTAATTTATAATTTAAAACAAATAATCGCAATTACTCCGTATAAATCAGTAATTCAAGCCCCTTTAGATTAAAGTACACTCAGATTAAAGTACCTTCATTAAGGCCCTGTTCTTTTAAGTTGTTCTGCCCTATCTTGCTCTGTTGAAATCTGTTATACTCTGTTTAAAAATAATAATTAATAATAACAATAACAATAATAATTAATATTTAAAGATCATAATAATAATACTTAATATTTAATAACAATAATAATTAATATATAATATTATTTTACAATAATAACTAATATTTAATGATAATAATTATTATTTTATATTATTTAACATATTTTGGAGGGTTAATCGATCAGAAAGCGACAATAAAGGTGATGACAATGAAGATGATGACAATGTAGATCATATGGACGTAGATGGTTAATTAAGCAAGATGTTAAACTCTTATCTAATTATGCTTCAATTTAGATATGTGCTTTTAATAATTTAAAGATGTTAAACTATTGTCTTTAATCTTTCTACTATTTAGATATGTCAAAGATAGTACCCATCTATTTATGTTTTCATTCACCTAAACTAGACTTGGCAACTGGGTTGTTCGGGTCGCGTACAGGTCGGGTTAATTTCGGGTCGAGTTATTTTAGCTCAATTAACATTCGAGTCGGGTATGGGTCGGATCATTTCGAGTTTCGGGTATGACTCGGGTCAAGTTCGGGTCGGGTCGATTCGGGTCGGGTATGTTCGGGTCAGACCATTTTCAGGTAAAGTATGTTCGGGTATACGCTTGTCAACAACAACAACAACAATAATAATAATGCTGAAATTTGTTGTGTCTGCTGAAATCTGCTCTGCTATGCTGACCCCTGCTCTGCCTACAAGCTCAAAACAACAGGGCTTAAGTTGATTTGTACTTGTGTTGAAATTTTAGATTTCGTAAGAATTGTTGGTAAGTGACGTTTGACTATCTTTTATTAATGAAATCAATTTTTTTCTTAAAAAAAAAAAATACCCTTGCTAGGTTGGTTTAATCTAAAATTCAATATAAGTCTTGTATAAAACGGGTTTACATTAATTTTATCATAAGACGGTCATTTTGAGAATGACTTTAACAATTTTTATAGTAACTTTAATTTCTTTAAGGGTAACCTTTTGATTTATATTGAGTTTGATTGTATTAATGTGTAATTTCTAATCAATCAATAATAACATAATACTAAAACAGACACCAAGAGTGACATGTAACCACTTTCTGGTGCTTTTATTTTCCTCCAAGAACCATTTCCAAAAAAATAAAAATCTTACATTAATTTCTATTTATAACCTTTTTCGTTCACAACTTATTTAAGAACAATAAATATATCGTAATAAATATATTAAGTGTGTATACAAAAATTTCTCACACATTTGACACATTAATTATAAAAGATTTATTAATCTTTGATTATTTTTCTATACAAAAATAATATTATCTTTCATAAACCATTTGAAAACCTTTTATTAGGATAAGATGAATTATAATGCATGTATAAATATTTTGTGAAGATTATTACTTAAACGAACACTAATTATCTATACTATTTATTTTTGATGAAGATAATTAAAGTATGAATGCTTTGACATCTACTATTTTTTTTTTTCTTTTTTTGAAATATGACATCTACTATAGTTGATATCATGATATGTATTATTTATCAAATTTAATTTGTAGATTTAATTAATGTTTTTTTTAAAAAAAAAATTAGGCTTACGTGCGTGGCATGGAGACTAAACTAGTGAATACATGATATGAAGGCTAATATGGTTAAGGTAATACATTGTAAGTGTTTTTTAAGGGTAAACTTTATATTAGAAAAATGTTAATTTTTGTACTATATGACGGTAACTTTAAATAACGGATGAGGATTTATTTGATTATCTAATACATTGAAGTGTTTTTAAGGATTTCTTTTATTAATTTTATTTTTTTATTAAATTATTGATTGATTGATGATGATTATATAAGCTGGGGGGGTGAAAAGTTGGTGTCCAATTTTTGAACTCTTAAAAATAACCCCCACTTATATAATTAATAATGATTAACATAATTAAAATAATTTAGGCAATTAAAAAAATCATTGATGGGTAGATCACTAAATCTTAACAACATCTGAAAGAATTAACAATTGACATATAATTGATTTATTATCAAATCTCGAAAACTAGGAAAATTAAAGATTATTTGATAATTTTATATCCTATTCTCTTCATATTTAAATTATTATTCCACATCAAGAAAAAAAAAATCGTATACAACTTCCCCAATTGTTTATATCAAGTTCGATTATTTTACAAAATAATATAAACTAGATAATTGCCGAGTCATGTTCGGTTTTTAATTAAAATATGGTAATTGAAATTCAAATGTAAAAATCTCTAGAAAATTATAACTCAAAAGCTATCATCACAATAAATTAAATAATAAAGTTCCTAGGCAAATTAATAATTCTACAAAAATAAAAATAAATAAAAATAAATAAATAAATAAGTGGAGTTTAGGAGGGAAAATTACCTTATAAAAAAACTTTGTTTTAGTAAAGGTATATTAATATAATGTATACATTGTAAAAATTTTAAAACTATATACGTTGTACGAAGTATCTTTAATATATAAATATAGATTATGTAGTTGTTTATATAAAAAGTTATACATACAACGTGTGCATTGTCAATTATTTAGTAAACTCGTAAGTAAAATTATGTTTATTGTATGGACTTCTTTTAATTCCCCTTAGCTTCTTCATTTTTTTCCCCTAAAAGAATAACAAATTTAATTAATTGGTATTAAAATATTGGTTTTTCGTTACTTCTCTCTCTAAAATTATAAAACCTTCTCCCTCTCTCTACAAAACAGCTCATCCCTTCTCTATTTTCCCCCGCCGCCAACGCTGCTCATCTAAGGCCGCCGGCGAAGATATGGTTGAGGATCTTGCCTAGCCATCTCGAGCGCTTCAGTATTTCTAAGCTATCACAAAATTAAACTTGAGCATGGAATCTCCCTTTTGGCACTAGATATTGCAGCACCAACGTGTCCACCAACGTCCTGGAGGCTCATAATGAAATGTTTAATCTTCTTGAGTGATCATTCACTTTGCATACAAATTAGGTTACTGATATGCAGTAGTTGAAGGTTATGACTCCTATCTCACTACTCAACTACTTGTTGGGCGGGCAATATGTTGCAGTTGATGCATCATGACATTGATGTTGTTTCTGTCTTTGATGCTGCTGCTACTTCTGTGCTGCTGCTGTTCTACCTCTGTGGTGCCCTAAGTCGGTTTTGAACAGTCAGTGCCTATTTGCCTTTTTCTATTAGTGATGATCGAGCATGCTTGTGTCCGTATTTGATCAAACTGTGCAAAGTCCATATGTTGCTGTCCAATGTTGATGTTGATGTTGTTGTTTTCGTTTGTTGAATAGGTTGCTAGCCTTATTTGTAAAAAGTTTACATAGTAGAATTCAGATAAATTCTATGAAATATGTTATACAATCATCATTAATTAAGCTTTAAAAAAGCAAAAAAAAATCTTTTTTTTTTTTTTTGGCCTCTTAATGCTACTGTTCAGACAAACAACCGTAGCATAAAATAGCAAAAGGCTACGATTTTTTCAAAAAAAAACCATAGCAAAAAAACCGTAGCAAAAACGCTATGGTTATTTTAAAAAATCATAGCAAAAAACATAAAATTGCGTGCTACGATTCCAAACCGTAGCAAATAGTTTTCCTTATTCTCTATGCCCACTAGTTCTACGGTTCAAAACCGTAGCAAATACCCCTAAAAAGACCATAGCAAATGTCATTTTTTCTACTAGTGTTAGGTTTCAATTTTGGGAATGGTTTCTATGTTCTTCTAATTGGGGATTAGCGTCAGATCCATGGCCTACAATTCGCAACCAAAAGCAGGGACGGACCCACGAAGGAACAAGAGATAGCACGTGCTACCTCTGAAAAAAAATACATTGTTGATCAAAGAGATCGATTTTGATCTATCTCTTAGATGCTACCAGTGGAAATTAATGCCAAACTGCCGCTATGTTCTATTTTTAAAAGAGACTAATTATATATAACAACCGGTCTCTTAGGTTCTTTTGTTGTCTTTTTTTAAACTAAAAGAGACCGGTTATATATAATTACAGGTCTAACAACCGGTCTTTTTGGTTCTCTCTTTTGCTTTCTTTTTAACAAAGAGACCGGTTATATATAATAACTGGTCTCTTAGGTTCTCTCTTTTGCTTCTACTTAGATGTGTGCATAATTAATTTTGAACTCACCTATTTATTATTTTTTTTCTTTTATAGGCTCTCATTAAGTTATAAAAAATTATAAAGTAGTAGAATCTATGGATTTTAAATTATAAAATAAATTTATACTCTTACTTTAATAATATTTAAGTCATCGTACATGATACCAAACATATAGAACGTATGAAGTACTTTTTAATTTGATCATTGTATTATATTGATAACTAGAATGTAAATTATTCCATATTTGTAAAATGAAAATTTATCTACCAAAATAAATGTTCAAAATTTAAAGGCTAATTATTAAATGATTATAGATATAAATACTCGTTTCTACCCCTTTTTTTTCTTCTTATTACTAGGGTGGCTAACGCGCGCGTTATAGCCAACCATTTTTGAAGTTTTTTAGTTGTTGGCAACATAATGAGAAAAACTATGTAAGCAAATATTTTTAGGGATATAAATGTCCGCACACTATTGTTAAGAGTTTTTTTAAATAAAAAATAATTAATGTTAATAAAGGCAAATAGACAAATAAACATTTAGAGAATATAATTGTCCAAACACTATTCATAAGAGTTAAATCATTAAATCACACAAAAGAAAAACTTAAAGGGCAATTAACATCATATTAATAAGGGTATATAGGTAAACAAACACCTCCAACACCATCAATGGTTTTAGGTTGATTTGGTATTAATTTTTATACTGACACATAAAAGTCTCATACTTTTTAAAAGGTAGGAATTTAGTGCTACCCTTAGTTAGAAATCCCGGATTTGCCAGTGATTAGTGTAGATGTGGCTAGTCCATTAGTGATATTAGCGCAACAGAATTTAACACAAATATTGGGAGCTTTGACTAAAGATTGTGGGAGCTTTAAGGTTAGTTAACACCTCTAAAACCATCCGCGGTTTTAACTTGATTTGGTAATAATTTTTATATCGACACATAAAAGTTACGAATAAATAATTCAAAATAAATACCGCATATTTTTAATTTCACACTGTCAATTGCCAAAATAATGAATAAAATAAATTAATTTACCAAGACCTCAAAACCCACACTTCAAAAGTTATACAAATCATAAAACAATACAATAAAATATAATTCCCCTCCCCCAATAACTAGTCCTCTAATCACTGAAGCAACAAACTAACAGTATTACTAGATTCTTGACCTTGCATTTTCATTTGTGCATAAAATTTCTCAATAAATTTCTCAGCTCTTTCATCAACTGATGACAATAAACCATATTCACCATCACCGATCTCCAGCATCTCCTCCTCTTCCTCCTCGCCGCTGCGGCTACTTGTAACTCCATATTCAATAGGAGGAAGAAACTCCATTGATGAGTAAACCTCATCTCTTTCTTCAACACCAAATTTTCCTAAACACAAACACATAAACAACATTGACTGCAAACCATTCTTGTTTCTCCTTACATTGCTAAAATACTCCTTTTTATTGGTAAAAATCAGAGGAGTATCATTTGAAGGAGAAAATTGATATTCTTGTATAAACCTATAATTATAATGCCTATAAAACTTGAATTTCCCAGATTTTTTCTTGAAGAAAATTTCATCAAAAGAAATGGGATTTCTCAATTTTGCTAATTTCACAAAGCTTGAGACTTTCTGAAGAACAGAGGATGTTTTTTTAGGCATTTTTTGTTCTGATTTTTGGGGGTTATGAGACTTTTAATTAGAGGAAAGTAGTAGAGTCAGATTATAAATTGATGAAATTGACTTGAAGGTATAAATATAGGAAAAAGACTGAATCTGAAAAGTAAGGTAAGCTGGAAAAGGTGTGGTGGTCGGTTAAGAGTTGGTTCATGGGTTTGTGGAAGTAGCCGTTATAACCACCAGGTTGGCGCTCTTGTTTACTTTTCGCGTTTTTAGATCCCGTTTTACTTTTTTATGTTAGGCGCTGTCACATGAATGTGCTACTTACTAGGTACTCCCTCCGTTTCAATATATAGTTTTTGTTTGTGTTTTTTACAGTATTTAAATTGAAGGAGAAAATGGATGAAATACATAAAAAAAGGTGCAAAGTATAATTATAAATAAAAGTTAGAGAGGGGAAAGTGAATGAAATACATTAAAAAAAAAGGTGAAAAGTACAATTATGGACAAAAGTTAGAGAGAGAAGGTGGAAAAAGGTACAAAGCAAGTGGAAAATTTAGAATAAGTATTGGCGCATAGGTCCTATATATTTCACTTGCAAATAGGATGGCATTTTTGTAAATAATGGGAACCTGAGAAAAATCGGTAGTAGAAAATATAATGACAAAATGTAACACTACATGCATAATAGTACATAATAGTACACAAAAATGTACCACTGTACCATTAAAAGAGAGAAAATATACCACCGAATCCCCGATTTCTCTCCTATATGCATGCAAAATACATAAGCTCTATGCGCCTATATGCACTCGAAAATTTATAGGTAATTTAAGAAGTACAACGAATAAAGTTTAAAAAAATGAGGGTATAATGATCTTTACATACTATCCAAAAATAGAAATAGGAACAACATTTTGGTTCTCTAAAATAGGAAAACAGGAAGTATAATATGGGACGGAGGGAGTATTTTATGAGTTGATTTATAATTTAATTACTTAATTAGTTTAAATCAGTTGATTAATATTTGTTAACTATAAGTCTGCAAGTATTAGTTGTGAGTATTGTATTTTCCCCCACGGATTTTACTACCCTGGCAAAAATTGACTTGAATTATCTGTGAGCACAAATTCTTGATTAAGGCAGACTTTCATTAAATTAATGTAAAACGGGTAAAGTTATCCTAAAAGTAATTAAAGTTACTCTAATACACTACAAAAATTACCATTTTCTTAACATAAATTTTACCCTTAAAAAACACTTTTAATGTAATAGGATAATCATAATAGCCTTTACAACATGTATTCATTATAAATTACACATTAAAATACAATCAAAATCATTACAAATTAAAGTTACCCTTAAAGGGATTAAAGTTACCATAAATTAGGAAAAATTGGTAAAAATAATCACAACTTTCGCTAGTTTGCTCAAAATAATCCAAACTTTGGATTATTTTAAATAATCCGAACTTTAGGGGTTATTCGCTCAAAATGGGTCTAAGCGGTCACCTAACCTGTTTATCAGGTTATGGGGACATGTGGACCACATGATTGGTTGAATTTTTTTTTCAAAAAAAAAAAAAAAAAAAAAATTTAAAAGAGGACCAACCATCGACAACCTTCAATAACTCCGGCGTCGGCTGCTTTCGAGGCTCCCAACCACCACCGCCAACCTTCCCTCACGCCGGCGCCGACGCTTCCCTCCTCCTTCCCCCTAAATCACCTAACCTTCAATGCAGAAAAAACCCAAAATCGTAAAAAAACCTAGCTAGCACACAAACCCCCCAAATCGGCGTTCCCCCACCCTCGAAACATCGATTTGGGGGGTTTGTGCGGTGGGCTGGTTTTTTTTTAAGGGTTTCGGGTTAGACTTGGAGGTTTCACGTTGGAAATTTTTTGGGAAAAAGCGTCGGGAAAGGGCGGTGCTGGCGGTAGGGGAAGGGGGTTTGGGCTGGGCCGGTGGGAGGAGGGACGCCGTATTGTCGGACTTGGGTGGTAGTGAGGTTTTCGTGGGTTGGGGCGGGTTGTTCTATTTTTTTTAAATTTTTAACTATTCACGTAGTGACATGTGTCACTTTAACCAAAAAAAAAAATTACCTCTTTAACAGGTTACTGGTCACATGGGACCATTTTGAGCAAATAACCCCCAAAGTTTAGATTATTTAAAAATAATCTAAAGTTGGGATTATTTTGAGCGAACCGGCGAAACTTGGGATTATTTTTACCAATTTTTCCTAAAAATTATTAAAGTTACCCTTATATTGACCGTTTTACCATAAAATTAATGTAAGCCCGCCTTATACAAGAATTATTGATTTGTGAATTACAAGTAATAGTTGAGTAACTAATCTCTTTCAAAAAGGTAAGTAACTAATCAAGTGGATGTATACACAATGTGTATTATACATATGCATGTAATCCCACCTTATCATGTACACAATACATCCATCATTTGCTTGAGGTGGGAATTGAACCCTCTCACAGAGGTGGAAGGAGGTCCTCCAATTACTAAAACCAACCTTGATTCTTGTCATGAGTATGAGTTAGGGCTTGTTTAATTTAGTTCACCTTATTTTTGCTTATCTGATCTAATCTAATCTGATCTGATCTAATTGATCTGATCGATTAGATCTGATCTGATTTGATCTAATTGTTTGGTTTGACCAAACTTTAATCGTGTGTGTACGATAATCTATAAAGAAAAAATATATTAAGTGAGGTCTTGTTAGATTTGTAATAATGTGTATTTTATTAATATGTAATTTTCATATATTTTTTAATTACAAAATTAAAGATATATAGCGATAAAAAATCGCACAAAAAATGATGATCTAATCTGAACTTATTTTTTCTGAAATAAGTAAAAATAAGTTAAACTAATCAGTACAAGGCCTTAGTGTTATATTCTTTGTACTTGTATTGTGTATTATACAAATAAGAAAACAAAAAAGGAAAAAAAATCTCCTCTAAATTGTTGTTTACTTGCCATAATTTATAATTTAAATTCATGATTTAAGAAAAAAACACTCTCAAGTTAACCACAGTAGGAAATTTTATTTTATTTTTTTAAAAAAAGAATGGTCGTTTGTTTAACATTCTTATTTTGTGAGAGGATTGTTTTTTCAACATAGCTAAGCGCATTTTTCACAAACAAAATGTTGTAGTAGATCTCATTCTGTCAGACTGTTAGCTAACTTATTTGGTTAAAGTATTTGAAATGGTACCTAAAAGCCAAAATTATATTTCATCTAAATTAATTATAATTTGCCATATTGTAAATCTTCTTTATATAAAATGAAACAATTACTCGATTTTTAAAATAGATGTATAACAAGTTTTTAATAATCTAGATGATCATGGCCTCATGATTTTTTTTACTCTAATTACCTTTTGAATGAAAAGACTAATACAACAAAATTCTATAGTAAATATAAAACACTAAAACCCAACTTTTTAATATCTAGAATAAAAAAATTTCTAACTTAGGTTCATCTCCCTCCAACATTTATTTCATGGCTTGCTGCCTACATTCCATGGAATGATATGGATACAGTCAATAAAAGGGGGATTATGCATTGCAACATAAGTAATTAGTAAAGTTATTGCATTTTTGTAATTAGAAACTAACGAACTACAGAGTACTCAAGAAAATCACGTACTCATAGAACAAATCATAAGACATTCATATTTGATTTGTCCTAAGCTAATAGACATCGACGGAAAATTGAGTCAAAATATACTTCCTGAATTGAGTTCCTATAGTGAATCTCATGGACATAAATCACAGTCATTAATCTTATCATCATCCATATGAGCGGACTTGTTTTCATCAAACTCGATGTCATGAAATGGTGAAGGCCCGGATGGAACCGCCGGCCCTCTAGGAAGTCTACCTTCGAGCGTATCGTACACATGAATCCATCGACGATTGAATCCTCTACCACATTGAACTCGCGCTGCCATTATTCCAACGAATATGATCGTCAACATGAAGAGAAGAGTCATAAGACTATTCGAACTCATGGAGGATCTTCCGGTTGCTGAAGACATTATGCTAGGCTCTTATCCAACTCGATCACTTTTGTTAGTTATGATTTTGTTCAATTGTTCAGTTACATCATTTACATATGTACATCTTTATAATAGTGTGATCAGAATGTTGCATATGTTAGACTTTTCGGAGGTTTGCTTCGTAATCAAATTCGAAGAACTAAAAAAAGTTGAATTAGTGGTTTTAATCTCCACTTCTAGCTAGTGAAGACTTTTGGTGTTTAAGCTTTGAAAATTGAAACATTCAAGTGTAGAACACTTCAACATAAGGAATGTATAGCAGCCAATATAGAAACAATATAGTATAACATTTTGGTTACTAATTAATTTTAATTTATTGTAAAACAGGTTAAAGTTATCTTTCTTTTTGAAGAAGGGTTAAAGTTATCTTTTTTTTTTGAAGAAGGGTTAAAGTTATCTTACAAGTATTTAAAATTGCCCTTTATACTACAACAATTATATTTTCTAATAATAAATTTTATCTTACAATAAAATTATAATGTATTAGATTAATCATATTAGCCTTTATACTATGTAATCATAAATCTATAAGAAATCACATATTAAAATAAAATTCAAACCAACAAAAAATTAAAAGTTACCCTTTAAGGGGTTGAAGTTAACATAAAAATAGTTAAAGTTACCCTCAAACCGGCCGTCTTACAATAAAATTAACGTATATCCGCCTTACACAAGACTTATTGCTTAATATATACTTGTATAACTAAAGTACTTCGTATATGGCTAGGTGATTCTAAACGCAATTTTGTCAACAAAATGTAATCAAGAATGTAATCATATTTCCAAAGCTGAAGTTTTTGACTAGGTGTAGTATGACGTATTTTGTAGGTCAGCAAGTTGTGGTTGAAATTGTGGCTAATTAGTCATATTTGTACCAAGATAGGAACACAATCGTGAAAATGGAGAATGAGGAGTTTTAAAAATGATCAAGGATCCAAGGAAACAAGCAAGCAAGCAAACCAATCGACTGAAAGGACCATGTTTGTACCAATGGTGGATCTTGGACAAAAGGGAGCAAAAGTTGTCAAAAATAGAATATGTAACCATTATACAAAGGTGCCCTATTTTCGGCAGCAACCTACAATCTCGGGAATACAAAGGCGTTCGTCGCAGAGGCAACTTCTCTTCACAAAGGCATAATGCTTGCACTTTATTATGGTGCCACAAACATCGTAATCGAAGGTGACAACTTACTCATTGTCAATGCAATTACAGGCAAGTGGTCCACCCCTTGGCAAATCCAAAACATCATTGAAGACTCTTGCATTTTATTGACAAACTTCGACAACTTGAACATCAGACACGTGTATAGAGAGCCGAATCTAGCAGCAGATTGGATTGCAAATGTAGGTCATTTAGTAGCAGATTTCATGTTAATTAATGATTGTACTAGCTCTAATCTAGCTTCCATACTTCAAACTGACACATTAGGGATTTCCCTCATAAAGGAGGGTTTCCTAATGTTATTTCTTCTTACCTTTTATAATACATTATATATATATATATATATATATATATATATATATATATATATATATATATATATATACATATATATATATGTATATACATATATATATATATACATATATATAT